CGACTCTATATAATAAAACACGGAGGACGGAGATCTCTTTTTCTCCCCCTCTTCTGACAGCCCAGCAGCTGATCAGAGCATGGCTCCCCTCTCCTGCAGGGGGGTGTGGTCAGCAGAATCAGACCCGTAGACAGCAAACAGCACATAGAGCGAAATGAGGCATGGCTAAAATGCATGATCTGTTTGGTATTTTGAAAACAGAAACGGATAAATATACCTTATATAGGTATGGCCCTACAATATATCATTTAAATATAGCATGATAGGTCCACTTTAAGTTGAGAGTAAGGCCTATAAGGGTTTATGGCTGTCACTGATAGCTACTGATCTACTCTTAAAACACACTTCTTCTCCCTGGCCTTTTAGTCAGAGCGGAGCACGACTCCTGACTTTTCCCTGTGTTTTTTTTATATATCTGTTGTAATTTATTGTCTTTTATTGTGATTGTAGTAATGTGTTTTTATGTGATTGTAGTATTTATTACATGTATAGCACTTTGGCCCGACCAAAAATCGCTTTTAAATGTGCTTTATAAATAAACTTTGATTTGATTTGATTTGATAGGGTAGACAGTTTCTTCCCTCTTCCCTCACAGAAGTACACAGGGAGGGGGGCTCCTGACTTTTTGGAGATAGACTGAGGCCCCAAAAAGGTGGTTATGTCATAGCCGAGAATAATATTTTGCAAGTCCTGCAGAGGAAGGGTCATGAACTTTTTACATAAGCCTGGGAAGGTGTGTCTTATGCCATAGTCATAGAATATGTCTGGTCAAGTCCAGTTCTGTACATCAGAGGCCATGCCCAGTTTCCACAAATATGGGTATGGAGGAGGTGTCTTTAGGTTTTTCTATCCTGTTTTCGAGCATAAAGACACTGGCAGATGGGGAGGAACTTTCTTTTTGGAGAGAGCGAGAGAGGGGGGGGGGATCCCCTGGTATACTCTCTCTCGGTAACACTCTCTCCCGGAGAGCTGGGTTTTTGCTCTCTGTAAGGTTCTCTCAAACTTGGTAAATATCTCTCGAATTTCTTTGTTGAAAGTGGAGTGAATTTCAAATCAAATCAAATTAAATCAAGTTTTATTTATAAAGCACATTTAAAAGCGATTTTTGGTCGAGCCAAAGTGCTGTCCATGTAATAAAAACACATTACTACAATCACAATAAAAGACAATAAATTACAACAGATATATAAAAAAAAAACACAAGGAAAGGTCAGGAGTCGTGCTCCGCTCTAACTAGAAGGCCAGAGAGAAGAAATGTGTTTTTAGTGTAGATTTAAAAACCCCTAGGGTCTGGGCCGACCTCACATGGAGGGGCAGAGTGTTGCAGAGCCTAGGGCCAGCTGCTGCGAAGGCTCGGTGCCCTCAGGTTTTAAGCCTGGTCTTGGGCACTACCAGCAGCAGCTGGTCATCAGACCTTAAAGCTCTGGCTGGGGTGTAGCGCTGGAGGAGTTTGGCTATATAGGCCGGAGCCACCCCAATTTCTGTGTTGAATGAGTGGAATGAATTGTAGTGTGTTTGTGAGTATTAGTAACCGCCACCTGTGAGGATCTTCCTCCGAATACATGCAGGATATAGGTATGTGTTTGTGAATGTTAGTCCCCGCCATCTGTGTCGGAAAAAAGGTATGGAATTTATGTGAATTGATATGGTGAATGAAAGTTTGAATGTGCTTTTTATTATCACTGGTCTTTTATGAGGAAATGCCTCTAAATTCTATCAGGAGATTTTAAATTTCACAACTGAATTGGGCAGTTGAAGTTACAAATTATGGTAATAAATGTAAAACTGTGAATTAAAGTTTCATATTAGAACATGATCACAGCATGATAGGTTTAGTATGATTATAATGTTGTAACGAGAGACGGTAAAAACCCTGTATAAGTTTGGACCTATTTTTCTTCAAATAAACTGATCCCACCTTTTGGATTGGAACAACTTAAAAGACATCTGCGCTCTCCTCTCCTGCTTCAAAGGTAAGATTGCACACTGCCACACTCACACTTAGGTACAGTAGGGCCACACCTCATTTACTGATATCAAAATCCTTCGGGATCGCTTAAACAGATTTAGGGGGTTGTCTGAATTGAAACAGCAGTTCATTGAACCTGGTTCTTCAGGAGTTAATAGAGGTGAGATCTTGCTGACGTTGGTGGATCTGAGCCAAGCAGCAAACTTACATAGACTCAATAACTTCGGTTAGGTTAATTAGTAGATCTGAGTAATTTGCCGGAATAAATTATCAGCTCCTACCGACTCTTACAATGGATACATTTGAATGGTGTGAAAATGTCCTATTTGATTGGATTAAAATGTACATATTCTTCCTGTTATGTCTGCCTGCTTTATTTGACCTAATGCAAAGTGACCTGCTCTATCGAAATCAGTTGCATTGACCCGAAGACACATTTTGAGTTGTATACACTGTTGGAAAGAGGAGATTCCTAGCTTTTTAATGATATCAGGATTGTTTTTGTACTCCAAATATTAAGCAAAATATGTCACATTATATAATGACTGTCACTGAGTCATCATTTTGAGAAAAAGTTTCCTCTTCTCTGGAATCCATCGATCTGATTGATTAGCGGAGCAAATGATCAAAATAGTCCGGAGGGAAGATATTTTCTTTTGGATTACTGGTCTGGGGGAAGCCCGCGAGTGTGTGTGAATACTGTTGTAGCAAACAACAATAAAGGTTATAACAATAATCTGATTTTACTGGTAAAAAACACTTATACAAGTTTACAGAGTACTCTGGACTTCCAGCTCTACTGCCGTGCGATACAGGTATCGGGACCAGCCAGTCAGAAACAGGAAGCATTTTGCATGAATAAACAACAGTATTCATAAACATTTGTGGGGCGGAGATGTGTTGACTCTTCCGTCCCATTTTACTCCGAAGCGAATCAGAGAGTCCGTGGGGAGGAGCTGTGTGAGCTGCTCACTCCCCCAGGTGTTTTTACTGGTTGGATTCACTTCTGGTCGGGTCCAATACAGCGAATCAGAGTTCTGGGGAAAAAGTATGTTTCTTCTGAGATCTTCGGAAGTACACAAGGACAGAGTCAATCTTTATCTCTGCACCTGTATTCACTCCTTTACTTTCCCAAGGAATATTTCACACAAACTATTCTTTCCCAGACAACCAAACATTGTACACAGATATATTGATGCCCAGAAAGGACCTTGAAAAGAATATGTGTGTGTGCTGGTGGGAGGAGGTGTATGTGTGTGTAGGGATATCTGGGTCATTGAGTGTAAGTGAGGATTACTTAAAACAGTTCAAACAATACATGTTCACTAAAATACAGTTCAAAATAATACATGTTTACTTTAACCTGTTACGCACCTTCCGCCCGGTACCGGGCGGATAAACGCGTCATTTGCAGGAAACAACGTCTAAGGAATCTTAATATTGAATAAAACTATGAATGTGTTATATCCATGTAACGGGAAGAAACTCAGCTAACTGATATTTTTTTTTTTTTTTTTCAAAAAAACCCCACAATGCTAGCACTCAGCCTCTGAATTATCCACAAGCGAAAACATGTAACGTAAAGCGGCACCTAAACTCACAATAACTCCCTTATTACTTATCCTAGATGCACAACCAACCACTCATTTTTGGTGTCCTGGAGACACTGAATCTAACGGTGCCCTCCTCAACACTCAGTGATAAACATTCGCGTCGCTATAAACGAAAGCGTACATCATAACATGTGGAGCTAAGTAGCTAGAAACGCTAACATGGCTTACCTTGGTCAAAACTCGTCTTCAATGGCATTAAAACGATAAAACGATGCTGCAGTTAATCCATAGGTTCATCCAATGTATCTGTGCCTTCTTTGAAATTATTTCTGATAATCCATAAGCAATAAAACTGCGTTTTAGTTTCCAAATGCCAGAGCTAGAATGTAGCTCCACTCTAACCTAGATTTTCAAACGCGAAGCCCCCACCTTTTCTCTTTACAACGAGTGTGTGTGTGGGCCTCCCCCTTCGATTCTATTGGCTCTAACGGTCAGAAAGGTGTGTCAACGATCCCAATCGAGTAAGGGGGGCCAGAGATAGGTCAAATCCACCCAAATGACCCCAGAAGTGGGGGTTTTTTGGCTAAATCTCTCTAAAAAGGTCAAATTTCACTTGTTTTGCATCAATCTTGATACAGGGTACTTATTATATGTTGTACTTTGGATTCCTAAAGCTTTTAGTCTACTAACCCATCATCCAAGGGTAGTTTTCACTATCTGTAAAAAATAATTTTTGGACGGACACTATAATTTACAGTTTTTTACTATGTAAAATCTGAATTTTCTTTAAAATAAAAAAACATTTATATTGATTCTGACACTTCTACATCCAACTCACAGGTTTATCATTACTTTGAGAACAAAGATTATTAATTTAACCCTTTTAGAAGGGAAGATATGGTCATTTGTTCTGGGAATGTCATTTTCGAGCCTGAGACCTGAAAAACAGGCTCAGAGTGGAACAGGTTAATACGTGTTTGTGTTTGTGTATTTTTGCATTTGTGTGTATTGTGTTTATTTCCCGGGGAAAACACTCACGAGCAACACCGGCTGTTGTTATGCCTGCAGTGACGTAAAGTTACTCCGTTCTCCACCTGTAATTATGCCGTCACAAGCTTCAAAGTTGTATTTATCATCTGAATTTGCCGAAACAAATGTAATATTCTGAAAGACTTTGTTTATTTGAAATCAGATGAAAACAAACTGTAACGGACCATGCCGTGTTATCTATGATTACTATACGCCTTACATTCATTACATCAAAATGAGGGAGGGGAAGCGGCGCTGCGGAAGAGCAGAGTGGCGAATGAGAGGCGAGCTGTCATCTTCCCTTTACAAGCTTCAAAAATGCCTGTAGCTAATGAGATTTAATATAACAATCAAAAATAACAAAATATACACAGCTAGATCAGATGGCGTTCTTTTTAGATGCGACTTTAGAGTAGAGGGGAATTATTGAAACGGGATGTGTACAGTGTTCCACGGCATCCGTTGCTGCGAAAATGTGGGGCAGGGCTGTAAAGTGGGGGGGGGCAATGGCCCCCTGCCCCCCCCACTTCCGGCGGAGAAAAGGAGAAACGAGAGAAGGAAAGTAGCCTTCGCTCAGAATCTGTGTTACCTTCAAGGACAAGGGGAAATAGTTACAGGTAACAAAACAGTGGACTAGACTTCAACTGTCACACACACTCCACAAGGTTTTGCTGCAGGCTGCAGCTCCTTTATTTCGCACCGCGTCCACCACCTCTCGTGCTCCGTCATTTTTGGGTTTGGCTCTGGCTGACGTCATTTCAGATTCACTGATCACTCCAGACCCAAAGAGTTTATCCAGAAGGACGTTCAGCTCAGTTTGAGACACTCTTTGAATGAACTCTGTCCGAACTGAGAACAGCCACTGGTCTGCTGGAACTCTGCTCTCTGCTGGGACTCTGCTCTCTTCTGGAACTCTGCTCTCTGCTGGAACTCTGCTCTCAGCTGGGACATTTATCTGGGATAATTGCCGCCTTGGAACTGGAAGATAAACAGGGAAAATACTTTTGTTGAATAACAAACAATCACATTAAACAGATCTCTTACAAATTAAAGTAACTCAGCATTCCCAGAGGTGGATTTATGTTCACTTGAAGTTATAATATGTAACATTTCCTCATTAAAATGTCTAAAAACTAATACACCTATGTTATTCATGTTTTGTTGAGTTGTGTACATACATTATCTCAAATGGTTCAGAGAGATGTGTAATTTTAATCAAGGTAACAGTACGTTCATCACGGTCTCTTGTAATGGAGGCGTATCCACTTAACCATGAGAAGATGAATACTACAACTCCCATGATGCCACGCTGTTTCACCACCACACCACACTAGTTTTTACTATGGTTTTAGAATATTACAGGTTGTGTGTTTAATGTCGTAATGATGCGCTGCCATGGAGCCTTAATAGAGAATGCTATGAGATGGAGCTTTAGAGTTATCAGTCTATCACTGGGTCTGAGCTCAGGTGGAGTCTTTACCTTCCAGTGACACACGATAACTCCAGACTACGTTTCCACCTTGGTCCTTGACCTTCAAAACCACTCTCTCTGTGCTCGTCGTCAGGGAAACTTGAAATGTCGGAGGGTAATTTGGTCCAAACCTGGATTCAAATATTTTACTCTGAAAACCAGAAGCAGAAGTTAAATGTTTATCTGTTTCTTTCCTGATTGTGAATCCACATAAAATGTGTGTTAATGATCATTGTGTTTCATCAGAGGAGTATCAGTGACTCACCTCAGGCTGAATGAAGAAGCCCTCAGGTTCACAGTGCACACTGTAACCTTTAAACAGTTCCAGCTCACACTCGGAGGAGTTTGTGATGTGCACAGCACAGCTGTGTTTTTCAGCAACCTTCAGTAACAGGACATTTTGATCAATTTAAAACAACATATGTTGAGAGACCTGCTCTACAGAGAGATAAGAATTACAATCAATTAAGAATAACATTATGAGGACATATGTGAGATTAATGATAGTGTACAGTATAGGTAGTAGGGCTGTCCCGAATACAATTTTTCGCGCTCCGGATATTCGGTAGTAATCAGCAGCGAATATTCGGATATCCGGCGCGAGGGGGGGGGGTGGGCAGTAATCAGCAGCGAATAATCAGATATGTGTGAAGCGAAGTGAAGCGTGACGTTCGCGTTCGTGACGCTGTGAGTGAAAGATTGAGAGATTGAGTGATGAGATTGTATATATTTCCGCATTTTAACAGTGCAATTAAAAAGTATAAATATAGTATAAGAATGTGGTAATTTGCCTTTATTGATAGCATACATTAAAAAAAAAAAAAACGAATATCCGAATAATGAAATTGAAAACCGCATAGTAGGCCAACGACCGAATATTCAGATATTCGGGTACAGCCCTAATAGTTAGGTGTTAATCTTTTTCAACAGCTTAAACATTGCAAAGTTCAAATATGGGAGAGTTAGATATTTGAACTAACGTTATTTGTCATTCTAGTCGGACCCATTAGAGCGTAAAAACTGTAACTATAACTATCTGAAATAAATATGTGTACCATTAACTGTATTGCATTGTCTTCTTATGCGCAATTTCTTCATATTGTCTTTGTCTTTTTCGTCCTGCATTTATTGTGCCCCTCTCAGAAAATAACTGGCCCCTACCTGGCCCCCCCAGTCAAATTGGTCTAGAACCGCCACTGAGGACAAGTCAGCCAGAAGGTTTATTACCTGGGCTATACCAATCCCCCCACCTATCTCTGTAACCCCCCTTTTGTATTCTCTCAAATCCTTATCACCTTAGCGTTGTCCTCTCTTTACTTTTATTTGATTAGTTCTTAGTATTAAAGATTTGACTTTTTTTTGGTAACTAGTACTACTGATGTGCCGAGTCACGGTTGAGAAACTGCTTGATCTTGGACGTGCTCTGATGGAAGAAGTATCAGTCCAGACATCTGGGACCCCGTTTGGAGTCCTCCAGCTTCCTCCTCCAGGTCCACCTCTGCACCGCTGTGTTCCTCCTTTATCACGCACAGCAGCCACCGCTCATCGGTTCACTAAGGTCGCATTCACACGTATAGTCCGCAGTGGTGGGAAGTAGTGGAGTACAAATACTTCGTTACTGTACTTAAGTACATTGTTTCTGGTATCAGTACTTTACTCCACTACTTATTTTTCTGACGACTTTTTACTTTTACTTCTTACATTTTTAACACAAACACCTGTACTTTCTACTTCTTACATTTTGAACCCAAATACGTGTACTTTCTACTTCTTACATGTTGAACCCAAATACCTGTACTTTCTACTTCTTACATGTTGAACCCAAATACCTGTACTTTCTACTTCGTACATGTTGAACACAAATACCTGTACTTTCTACTTCTTACATGTTGAACCCAAATACCTGTACTTTCTACTTCTTACATGTTGAACACAAATACCTGTACTTTCTACTTCTTACATTTTCCAAACAGGCTGGTTACTTTAGATTTTAATCTGTGCATGGTGGCGTGATCTTTTGATATTTTTAAACACAAGTATCTGTACTTCTACTTGAGTAAAGGATGCGTTTACTTTTGCCATCTCTCTTTTGTGCGCACCAGACGACAGTTTGTTACATTGTTTAATTTTTCAGAAGGTTTGGTTTGCGTTCACACGGCAAAACTCAAACGGACTATGAACTTTAAACACAAGTCATGTGCACGGAAATGCTGTTCAACAATTGGTCAGACATTAAGGCGGTAAACACGCAAATCCTGGCAATTTCTACCGTAGCCTCCGCCATGGAGCATCGGCAGGTTATTTTCTCGCTGCTGTTAATCTGGAGAGCACATCAACAGACTCTAGTGGACGGCAGATATGATTATATAATCAGATGTGCGTTAAAAAACATAATAACGATGACCCTCGGTTGGATAGGAGTAGACACGCGTTGAGTCTCGCTCTCAAACATTTTCATATTTTGACTTTCTCGAAAACCCATAACTCTGTGTAGTGACCACGAGATCCATTTGTTTTTTGTCCTTTGTTTGTGATTCACTCGTGGGGCTGACCGAGGAATAGACGCTTGTAGTTTGAGAGAAAAAAAAACTACAAAAAAAAAGCTAGCAATGAGCTTAGCATGGCGTCTCTTGGAAGATCTCCGTAAAGCCCTGTCCTCCGATTTCAGGACAACCATATCGGCTCTCGACGCAAAGCTAGACCGGATTCAAGTTACAGTGTTGGACAATTACTTCGCTCGAACCCAACGCCAATATACAGGATGAACGATTGTTAGCCCTGGAAACTAGTTGCGTTACGCTAACAGAGAGCAATGCTGAACTGCTAGCCAAAGTCACCGACCTCGAGTCCCGCAGCCGCCGCAACAATATTAGAATTGTCGGCCTGTCCACTGAGGGGTCTCGTCCCTCTACTTTTTTCCCGGAGATGCTGGCGGAGGTCCTCGGCGTGGGCGTCCTGGATTCGCCACCGCAGTGTTATAGGGCCCATCGTTCACTCATCATCCGCCTCCACCGGTACCAACAGAAGGAGATGATCATCCGCGAAGCCCGGGCCAAAAGAGGCAGGCTACAATACCGAGGTACTCCTATTGCCATCTACGAGGATTACGCACCGGAGGTGATGGAACAGCGTTACAAATACCGGGAGGTTATGTCGGAGCTCTATTACCTGGGGCTCAGGCCAGCTCTGTTGTTTCCCGCAAGGCTTTCCATCATAACGAAGGAGGGTGGTAGGAAGAGATTCTCCTCTGTTGCCAAGGCTAAAGCCTACATAGCATCCATTCGTCATGACGACAACTAACACTGACACAGTTACCAGCCACTCTGATCATCCGTTTGCCTGGTTGGTCGGCCAGTAAGAGATCAATATTATTTTCTTATTAATCTCCTTTCATAATCACACTTTGACAATGCCTGTGGGTAACATCCCGCTTCCAAACACTGTATCGACATTGAACTGCTCATAATTGCACTCTTAATTGTTTACATGTTATGGTCCCCCATCAACGCCTCCACTCGGAGCATAAAAAACTCTTGCTAAAGTACGACGGGACCCAGGCACTTTGACTGTTTTGTGAGCTGCCTAAATTGACTATCTGTTGGTTTGTTTATGTGGCCTGAGATCTGTGTCCTCCTGTGCCTTACAGTTTTCTGCTATGTTCCCACATGCAGGTTGTTTACTTACCTATTATTGTTATTTGAAAAAGGTGGGTTGGGTACTTTAGTTCTGATTGTTTACAATGTGTTTTGTTTCACTTGTATATTCTTCCAAATTATAATGGGCTTCCTACTGTTAATGTAGGGAATGAGACCCGGAAGATGTAAATAAATACTGCACACATGCTGAAACTATTGTTCAGCATGATAATAATCACAATGCAAAGAAGACCAACATTGAGAAACTTCAGATGGTTCAACAGGAAGAGGGGAAGGCAGAGGAAGAGGTGAAAACAGAGGGAGGGGACCAGAAAGGAAACCTTTCTTTGGAGACAGAGGTACCTGTCGCAGGTGTTATCAAAAAGGTCATTGGGTATACTGAAATACTACCACAGGAATGGGATAATGATCAAGGAAAATCATACCCACCATTTGGAGAAGTGTCAGTGAATAGACCATTTGCCAACAAGAACCGCCCATTTCAAAGATCATGACTTCCTGAGCAAGCCTCAGATTCAACTGCCATTCTACAGGAAGATAGTAAAAGTCCCCAAACAAATGTTTCTGAAATAACTAATCAGTTCTACCTTATCTCTTCGCTACAATTCACGGCAAAACCTACGAGATGTTGGCTGATACAGGAGTAACTGAATCTTCATTGAGATCAATAACAGAGGATTTTGAGATGACTAAGGACATAAAGACCTGTATTGGAGTTACAGGCACACCTATAAAATGTGGAGTGACTAAACTATGTCCAGTTGAATGCAAAGACTTTGATGTTTCAAATATACATCACAAATTCGTGATTGTGCCAGATTGTCCAGTAAATCTGGCAGGAAGACATCTACTGTGTGCTCTAGGCCTGACTATTGTTTGCAATGACAATGGTTTAGAGTTGAGGAAATCTGAGGTTGTTGACAGGCTTTTTGATCTTATGACTTGCCACTCCCCAAGCACTCCTGAGTCTATTAAAAACCACCCGGCGTTGAACAGGGTTCCAGAACAGTTATGGTCTAGTCATAAGTATGATGTGGGTATAATTAAGGATGCAACACCAATGGTTGTGGTTCCTAAATCTGATTACCGACCTAATAAACGGCAGTACCCTCTGAGACCTGATGCAGAAGAAGGCATGGCTCCCATTATTGAGCAACTCCTAAAAGACGGAATAATTGTTCCAGTGCCAACATCTCCATGTAATACTCCACTTTTCCCAGTAAAAAAGGCAGATGGTGAAACTTGGCGACCTGTTCATGATTTGCATGCTGTAAATGAAGCTGTATTTGCTCGAGCACCTGTTGTACCTTACCCAGCAACAATCTTGTCTTCAGTACCTGGCAATGCAGATTGGTTCACTGTGATAGATTTGGCTAATGCATTTTTCAGTGTTCCAGTTGATCCTGAATCTCAAGATTGGTTTGCATTCACATTCAAGAACAAAAAGTACAAGTGGACTCGATGTCCACAGGGCTATTCAGAATCGCCGACAGTATATTTAGCTTCCTTGCAAGAGAATTTGCCAGGTTTTGTGTTTCCTAGGGACAGTACCTTAATTCAGTACATTGACGATGTGTTGGTATGCTCAACATCTGAGGAGAATTGTACTGTTGACACAAATGCTTTGTTACATTATTTGGCTTCACAGGGACACAAAGCATCCCTACGAAAACTCCAATTGGTGAAAAAACAAGTGCACTATATAGGACATGAGATATCTCAAAACAGACGAACAATTGGAAAAGACAGAATTAAAGCGGTATTGTCAATACCTAAACCACTGACAAAAAAGCAAGTGCTATCTTTTTTGGGATGCACAGGCTATTGTCGACAATGGATATGTAATTACGCAAAGTTATCTCAACCATTGTCAGACATTGCTCATGCGACAACACTGACTGCAAACGACTCAGTGACTTGGACTTCTGACGCTACTGACTCGTTTGAAAAACTGAAGGAATCGTTAGCTTCTGCTCCTGCCTTAGGCATACCTGACCTGTCTAAAGATTTTTAGCTTAGCAGTGGATGAGAAGAATGGGTATTATAATGCTGTCCTGCTTCAGAAACATGGCGACAAACTTAAACCAGTTGCTTATTATTCGCAGAGACTTTCAGCAGTTGTGAGAGGTCTTCCTACTTGTTCTAGAGCAGTGGCTGCAGCAGCATCAGCTGTCACAGCTTCTGCCTCCTTGGTAGCCTACAGACCTCTTATGGCACATTTCCACTGCAGCGCGTAGCACGGCTTAAGCGTGCCGTGCCAAACCAGGCCCGTTTTGTGTTGCGTTTCCACTAGGGGTAGTTACGGCTAACGGGTACTGTTTCACAGTTTTTCTGGCCCTCCAAAATCCAGGTTCTTACCGGGCCAACAACCGGGCTGAGTCGGGCTGAATATGCTAAACTAGAGAGAATCGCTGGCAAGGGGGGCTACAACTACAACAAAATGAACGGTAACACTTTACAATAAGGTACACAAAATGTGCTTAGTTACTGAGTAGTGAATAAGGAACGACTAGATAGTTAATGGTTAGTTAATGAGGAGTTCCTCAGTAACTGCGATTGAAGAACTGATGGTTAGTTACTGGTTAACAGACTGGGGGGTACTGTATTAATGAATCAATCGTTAATGGTTAGTTAATGAGGAGTTCCTTTGATTGAAGAACTCCTGTCCCACCTCCCAAACTTTCTTTTTAGTTGTGCATTGTATTTGTGCTTGAGAAACATTCCACTTGAACTTTATTTCAATGAAATTAGTAATAATTATTGTCCTACTTTTTAATTTGTTTTACAGAGTTTTTATTATTTATTTGTTTTCTCTTCTTTTTTGAGAAAGGACGTGTGATGCTGTTGACTAATTTACGTATGTTCCCTGAACGCCACACTGACAGCACGAGACAGACCTGCCATTCGCACATCACACAGTCAGACCTGCGTGACTGTAGGATAGCGGGAGATAAGGAAACATTTGGGAGAAAGAGTGGACGTTATTCCTCCTCCTCTGTTAGCATTGACCTAGTGAGTCAGTGAAAATTAGCATAACGTAGCCTGCTAACATATCAGTTTTTGCTACTCCACTGTATGACATGTATCCTTAAAATAGTTTGAATTGTGTTGAATAAGGTTATGAATGCTAGAATAGATGGCAAAACGAGTCAGGAGATGAATGGAATATGAATGGAATATGAATGTTTGTAATGTTAATCTCGTTTGCGGCTAAGCTAATGTGGCTAAGCTAATGCGGCTAACCTAAATTTGACACATTTTGTGACCACTGTCACAAAGGAAGCCTTGTGAGCTAATGTGAGCTAATCTTGATATATTAGAACTGTATGTTGATTGATTGAGATGAGATTGTAACTGTTCTGCACAAAGTTCTCTCTGACGTCCTGGAGCAGAGTCCGTCTACCACCCGCTGCACCATCGCTGCGGTGGAATCCTCCCGTTTCTGTGGATCTATAAAAGTGGATATCGTGCCGTGCCACAGCGTAGGACGCGGTAAAAATGTAAATCTGTATTTTATTATTAATGTGTGAGCACTCTGCCTATGCAAATGTTTTCATAACCAGCAGTGTATGGCTATGAGGATTTTTTGTTCAAGATGATAAATGTTTGAGGGCTCCACCCAACATTTTTAAAAGGTTTTGTTTTACTTGGGCCTAATGTTGACACTGTATAGTGAGATCTAAAGTCTGTATTGAGTTCTGCTCTACCAATATCCCTTGAATCTAGATATTTATTACCCCATAGATCACCTACCAAAGGTAAGGTTACAAGAAGGGTTACAAACGCTGTTGTTTATCAATTGAAATTCCTGATTATTTTTATATAATTGTGTTGTCCTTTTTTACTGCTTTATCACAGTACGGTAGGGGAGAAACGTGGAGGAGAAAATGGGTCTTTGGAATGCTGGGCATCAGAGGAACAAGGAGAATACCTATCCTGAGGCTGGTTAAGATCAAGGCGCCACTTAATTCCTCTTGTCACAAATTACGTTCGCCAAGTGTGGAGGGTGTACTGTACATGACTGCACTCGCAGAAAGTGGCTTTGTCCATTTCTCTGTAAACCACAGCCAGTCATTTGTGCACCCAGACACAGGAGCCCACACCCAAAACATTGAGCAGGCTTGGTCAACATACAAGTCCCAGGTCTGGAGACTGCGGGGAAACCGCACAGTGAAGACTCTGATGAGTCGTCTTGCTTTCATAGAGTGGACACATTGGCTGGCAAATGAACACAAAGATGGTCCCCTAGGCAGACTGTTGCATGACATAAGCCACTTTCACAAGTTCTAGATATAAAAGCAATCTCGTTTTGGTTACTGTCATTAATAAATTCAGGTTGTTTGTTTATATGTTCCTCATTTATATCAAATTTGTTAATTAAAATGTAAACTTGAGTGGCTATAGATCCGTCATTGTAATCAACAGTGTTTGTTTGTTTGTTTGCTTAACTAATGGTGAAGACATTATTAGTTAATGGGTAACTACTGTTTTTGATGCATAACTTTACTTGAGGGGACACAAACTGCTTAAAGGTGGGGTAGGTAATTTTGGAGAAACCGGCTCGAGATCGCTAGAATTTGAAAATACACAACCGGAGAAAATCTGCCACTTCCTTACAGAGCCCCTCCTCCAACACACACGAACGCGCACATGACCAATGAGGGCACAAGATAAGTTTGTGCACAGATGGAAGGCTGACAGGCAGGTAGGCCATCCAGTTATTTTAGCCGGGCCGGCTAAAATGATTGGTCGTGCTTTTTACAGTATTACAGCTTCCACAGATGATATTTTTGTATGGATTTTTTGTCAAAGCACTTCAGATATTCATTGCTATCGGGATGTTAAGTGCATTCCATGGAATATAACACAAAGTGTATCTCGAGCCGGTTTCTCAAACGTACCTACCCCACCTTTAAGGTAAACTTCGAGTTTGATAACCAAAGTAGAGTTTGGCACTCCAAGTAAATAATTAAGAATGAATTATTAACCTGCTCAAGCAATATATGCTAACAAATATTCAGTTCAGATAGATCTGATTCTTCTCACAACCAATAAAGTTTGAAAAGAGGAGCAGTGTGTGTGGAAACAGCTGTGGTTTTATGGTGAGCTGTACCTCCTCCTCAGAGACGTTGTTCTGCAGCAGATGTACATCCAGTATTTGTTCCTCTCTGCCCGGGGGTCGTAGGAACACCAGAACTTGGCCCATTATCCGCAGAAGCAGAAACCTTTTAAGGATGTCCCAGACCAGGCCATAGAAAGAGAGGTGAGGCACCTTCACCACCACGTGAGTGGGTGTGACCTCCAGCGGCTCCAAGATGCTCAGGCCTTCATCAGTGATGTGGACGACAGACAACAGGCCGTCCAGGAGCAGCGCTGTGGAGCAAAGAGCTGGTCATCTGTTGCATTGATGCTGAAACAGCTTCATCATATTCAATGTCACACCACTTTAGTTCAGAGCTAATGTTCATCTAATGTCATTCACTTTGGAGCCTCACTAGGATGTACCAGTTTATATCCTCCACCTTTTATTTTAATGTTTCATTATTGATCCGCCCCCTGTGATCTTTCTGGATGGGAGCATTTACTCTTATGCATAAACTTTATTAATTATTTTTGTATTTATAAGAATGCTGAATTGTTTGTCAGAACAGCTTGACTGTGTCCGGTTTCATGTCTGAGTGATTCTCTAGATGTGTGAAGAGTTCTCTAAAGCAGGGGTTCCCAACCTTTATTGTGCCAAGGACCGGCAGATACATTAAAAGAAAATCGCGGACCGGTTGTCAATTTTAACTGATTTTAATATTTACTCACCAGCAGCAGGTAGCAACAGAGGCTAATTGTATGTAACAGCCTGAACAAATACTAGAACAATATGCATCCAAAACATATTAACAAAGTTTAAAAAAGAACCGGTGTTGTTTTTTGGTTTTTCGGAAAACCAAAAAACCGACGTTATTCAGTTTTTAAACCAAAACGGGAAAACAGATAAATCAACGTTTTGGTTTTGTTTGTATGATTTACGGATAATCCAGTGAATGCTGGGAAAACGAGGAGAAGGCGCATTATGAAGGAGGTGTGTGTGTGTGTGTGTGTGTGTGTGTGTGTGTGTGTGTGTGTGTGTGTGTGTGTGTGTGTGTGTGTGTGTGTGTGTGTGTGTGTGTGTGTGTGTGTGTGTGTGTGTGTGTGTGTGTGTGTGTGACTGGCATTTGTTTTCAGAAGATATTATGATAGTGTCGTTCGTTCCGGTGCACGCCGACAGCATTTAGCATCGAGATTAATGCCGCGTTTCCACTACAGCGCGCAGCCCGGTTTAAGAGGGCTGTGACGTCAGCGGCCCGTTTGTGGTTGCGTTTCCACTTGGCCTAGTACCGGCCGGCTGGTCCTAATTCTCAGTTTTTCTGGCCTCATAAAATCGTGGGGCCAGGGCCAGAGGCAACCGGGCTGTGTTTGTGACGTCAACGCTCTCGGCTGCTGATTGGTCGGAGAGAATCGTCACAATCTGCGCGCGAGATAATCCATTTTTACAAACAGCATTTTTGTTAACGGAGGAGCTACAACAATGGCAAAGAAAAGCACACCATGGTCGGTCGAGGAAGTGACGACGTCCATTATATTGCAGATGATAAGGTCCAGCGGGTGCTCGACGGGACAACTCGCAATATCAAAGTCTTTCAGGAGGTCTCTACACAGACACTGGACTCTCCAACGGCGTTACTGGAGTCTGCATGGTACGTTTTTGCTAACGCTGTGTTATTTGCTTGAAAGCTTTGTGTCCCTGCTTTGTGTCCCCTGCTTTGTGTCCCTATCTGTTTTAAAGCTCACTTCTAACAAATAAGTCTATTTTATCCTTACATTTATGTTCGACAACCCCGATGGAGCCCCGAAGGCTAGCTAGGCAGATAGCATTAGCGAGAGCTATTGTTTGCTAACACCATATGTGCCATTGTTTACGTTCAGTTTGTCTTTTCTATAGTTGTTGTTGCTATTTATAGTATTGTGCTGCAGTAGTTTGTGGAATTTACAAGTCATGTTTCTGTTCTAGATGATTACATTGGGACTAGCGAGGAGGAACAGTTCCGAACAACGTCCTCTGCATCAACAGCACAAACCGAGGAGGAGAGGATCTGGCCCTGCAGGAACGGCAACTGGCCCAGCAGAATCAATGCCATGTCTTATCTTATTGCTTGTTGATAAATAATTGCACCCACCAGCGATCGCACAGAAAGATGGCATCATCTAGGCGTCCCTCTGCAGTCAGAAATATCATAAACACCATCGTCCACAAAGCACTGTACAGGGGTTTATGGATTTAAGAGAATACTTATCACAGTGAAACCTTTATCATCTGTTGCAATTAAAGCAAATAAGAGAATAAATACTTGGTTAAATAATACATTTTAACTCTTTAGCAGGACAACTCTGCATACTGTTTGAAATTGAGTTTGCTAGCTTGAGGTCCTCCTCTAAAACATAACATTACATAATGGTATTAAGAATACATGATAAATACATGTAGAAAAATTACTCAATTGTAATACCCTCGTTGTGCTAGACTCAAACACATTGCTTATATATTTCAAAGAGAAGAGAACAAAAGAAAACACCTATACAAAGAGAGCGGTGCACAGCGCTTAATATTTACTTGCACTATATTTCTGTTGATCTGGGTTATTGTGTTGCACTGTTGGAGGAGCCTGTGACCTAAGATGTTCATTGTCATAACTACACTAGCTATGTTCGTATGACAAAATAAAAAACCTTGAACCTTGAGGCTGTGTCTTTCAGACAAACCATCATAATCATATTATTTTATGCTGTGGATACTTTAGCCTCCATCCATGTTAACAATTTTTTACACTTGCATTTATGAATATAGTTCTGTTGTGTTTTACACTTTTGTATTTATGTTTATAGTTTGCTTTGATATTTGCTTAATTTATTAGATTATTATTATGGGGGCAGTACTGGTGCTTGAAATTCAAATATTTACTAAATAGTCAATTCTGATAACATTTTTTTGGTTTAAATAATTTGACAAACACATGTATGTGAAAAAGAAAAGATGTATTTATGTTCAATACAATACAATGAATATTTAGGTATTACACGTAGGTTTTCCTCAGGCATCCTGAAGTTCTCCACCCACTGAGTGTGTGAAAGATGGAACAATCACATTCCACCACTCGGTAGCTCGGTCGGTAACTTCTGAAATACACAAACAAAAGCATACATATTTTAATACGTAAAAGTGGTAGCTACAATTAATTAAATACTTGAAATACTTTGGTCGTATAGGGAGAGTGAGCCTAAACACATTGCTAGTTAGCGAACGTTAGCTTACCAAGTAGCATTGTAGTTAGTAGTGATTCGAGTCGTCCTGTAGTCTCTGCGGCGTAGGAGGACTGCCCGAACTCTCGCGTCAGCTTCTTCTATACCTCGTCTTGCTATACGTCGCCTCTTTCGAAACAACTCTTGTCTATTTCTTGTGATAATAAACCACACAGCAAAAAACAAGCAAACGATCGCTTTCACATCTCCATTGTTGTGTCGCATTGAAGATGACGTCACGGCAGTTTTAAGCAGCGTCGCTCCGCCTACACTGTTACTATAGATACTGACCCGGTTCCTAAACTGTAATGGAAACGCGCCACAAAGTGAGCTGGTCCTAACGAGGCCGGGCGCGGCCAAAGGAGGCCGAGCGGGGCCGAGCGAGGCTGTGTAGTGGAAACGCGGCATAAGATTAAACACATTTTTTTATTATTTTTTTTTATTTATTTAACCAGATAAAAACATTGAGATAAAATCTAATTTTCAATGCTGACCTGGCCAAGAAGGCAGCAACGTTACGTTACACATAACACATAACACAAACATATAAAATACAGAGAACATAACAAAGAAAACAAAAGACGAAAAAGCAGTTTATTTTGGGAACAGCCGCATAAATGCCGGTGTCGGACAGACACAAACACACCGAACACACAGAGCTGAGCTGAGCAGAGCACATACACACACACATCATGCGCCTTGGTGACTGACTGGACATCTCCTTCATAAAACTAATACAAGGGGGAGTAATCGGGCAGTTCGATGTGTGTAGAGATGTGTGTAGAGGTGTGTGTGGTTAACACGTAGCAGCCTGCAGTCACTCTTTTAAGCTGTTCTGATGAAGTTAAACACAGCGAATGCGGTGCGTAAAAAGGCACGGCTCTTTACCCGCTGGTGCTGCACTTCTCAGAGGCGGAGTATACGTCCCGCTGCCTCCTGATGCTGCAGCCATTTCATGAAGTGAAGGAGGGTTTCCTTCTATAAAACAGCTTCGGGCAGCAGATACCGTGAGAGTCCCGGACATTAATTCATAGATTAATAGGTAGGCAGACTGGTTTACTCTCCTGTTTTGCCAATCCGGTGCTTAAAAAGCTTTACACCCCTGGCTGACATGTCCTTAAAATGAAGTCCGAGTTTGAAATATATCTCAAATAATGTATGCACCACCATTTCCCCACATAAACATAACAGTCTGCAATCAAACGGTTGTCTCCTGTGCGCTCCTCTTCCTACTTGGCGCACCGGTAACATTCTCGTGCGAGGCTGAGACCTTATGCTGCGTTCACACCGGACGCGATGCGATGTTTGGGGGTGGTGCGATTACATGTAAAGTGAATGCAGAGACGCGGACAGACGCGGACAGACGCGAATTCGATCCGACGGCGAGCATGAAGCGGTGTACGCGGCGCGAATCACGCGATTGAGGCGATTGAACGGTGCCGCGTTAAACGCGAGAGTTCAATTTTTTCAACTCGAGCGTCAAATTCACGTGACGCGGAAGCCAATCAGCGGTGAGGATCTCAGCCTGCCGTCACTGACGTTCAACCACACAACATCAGCCGTTAGCTGTTAGCAGTTAGCACTCAGAGCTCACAGCTCCTCATATCTGTTCAGAAACTGGACAAAAGTGAAACAAGTACAAACCACAGACTGTCTGTGTCATGGCGAATACAGTCGCTGCTTTATTTATGTCTGTAGGCCGTTGTTATGAGTGTGGAATGAGCATAGACAACGTTAGCTTAGCCTGGTCGACCCGATCTTCATTCAGAAAACAAGCATTTTAAAAGGTTTTTCTCCTGCCGTCTAGTCTGCAGACGTGTCAAAGCATTAATTCATGGTTTTTACTAACCGGTATCAGTATGTTGTTACTTCGGCATCATTTTGAAACGTGTATTACAATTTAATCACAGTAAAATATGTTCATTTTGTTGTAGTTGTAGCTCCCGAGCCAGCGCGTCTTGTTTGAATGATGCGAGTAAACACAGCTGACAGCCGCGGTGAAACTCGAGCGATTAGAGCGAAGCGAATATTCGCATCGCGTCCGGTGTGAACGCAGCATTAGGCTGAGCCGCCGAATCCCTCGGAACATCATAAAAGCCATTTTCAACGGTTTTCTGGTGAAAGATTAACTAGCTACTGGATGAAATAATATGACTGGTGGCATAGGTGCGAAAATTAGGGTATATTGAAAAATATATTATGATAATAAAATATGTTTATATATTTATAATTCTGCAAATATTACGATAAACTCACAGCTATTTCGCGGCCCGGCAGTAACACCTCCGCGGACCGGTACCGGGCCGCGGACCGGGGTTTGGGAACCCCTGCTCTAAAGCTTTCAGGGCGTAGAAAGTCTAACTTATAAATGTTGTTGTCTGTTGTTTTGTTTTGTACATGGTTCAGCTAGACTGACAATGTAAAGAGCAGAAAGAGCAACAGATGGATAACAAAGTAAGAATTAATCAAACTGCTAGCTTAGCATCACAACAGTAACAGAGAGTTAGCGTTGAGTTAGCACTGTTAGCAGCTGAGCATGCTGTGGACTGACCAATCACAGTTTAAATGTCTTTCATATTACAGTGAAGAGACTGTTTGGTGTCTGAATTATACAGTTGTTATCTTTGTTAAACTAGTTTAATAAAGCTGCTTCATAACCTTTGAGCGGTAGTGGATATTAAAAGGTGCCACAGAAACCTTATATAAGTGTATATTTGTTAACACTAGATGTCCTTACCTTCCTCTGTCTCACTGTGTGGCAGGTGGAGCTGGCAGACAGCAGCTTCATCAGAACTCTTCACGTCGAACAGCGGCCCTGCTGCCTGCTTGCCAGCTGATTGGAGGAGGCTCTCTTCCCAAGGGACCGTCCTGTACAGAAGCTCCGCCTCCTGAGCCATGACGAACACCAGGCCAGTCGATGCACACTGGAACGCACCTGGACCAGGACACCTGAAGCTGTAGACACACAGGGGACAAGTTACTACAACAAGCCTTCACTGGCCTGTGTTCTGACTGACAGGTGTTCATCCAGCTGGATCTGACCTGGAGGAGGGTTTGTTGAAAGATCTGAAACACCTGATGATTACAGGAACATCACTGAATGTGTCCACATGCATCAGGATGTGTGTGTACACAAAATGTCATTAAATTAACTAAATATCTATCCAGCGAGGATCTAGACTGGTACAAGAAAACAATCCTACACACAGAGGCATTATTTTATTTATGTCTGTTAGAAAGAGATTGGATGAAATACCTCATGGTGAAAGACATGAAATTAAACACAATAAAATAAATATATATTTCGAATGTGTTTAAATAATGTTTGGTCATGTTATAGCATTACCTGTATGAAGATCCAGTTGTGTGTTCAGGTGAGAAGGATTCAGGAGCCTGGAACAAACAAAGTTATTTATTTATTATTTGAAAAATGCAAATTGGTCTGGATCATCTGAGTTCATTTACAATTTCAAACGGTCAAAACACAGTATTATCAGCCAATCACAGAGCAGAAGTACCAGCCAATCACAGCACAGTATTATCAGCCAATCACAGCAAAGTATTACCAGCCAATCACAGAACAGAAGTACCAGCCAATCACAGCACAGTATTACCAGCCAATCACAGCACAGTATTACCAGCCAATCACAGAGCAGAAGTGCAAGCCAGTAGGAATATTACCCATTTCGTCGGGGATCCAGATATTTTAAATGGCATCGTCATATACATTTATTGCATCAACTTGGTGATATGTAATCCTCTTAGACACACCTCCCATTAAAAAAAAGAAACAAACACTAATTAAATAGAAATATTCTTAACTCATAATCGAATACCTGAATCATTTCGATCAATTGCGAGCGTTATAGCGTTTAACTCAACAGCCCAAAGATTTATATTTGAATTCAGTGGTGAAATAAATACACTTCACTCTGTTCAACTGCTCCTCTCTCACCTTTCTGTCTGTCTTCACTTCCTGTTGCACATCGGAGTCACCTGATGGAGAGAAGAGGTGACAGAGAAAGAATAATTAAACTTGAACAAAGAGAAACATTAGCAGCCAAAATGTTTGAATAGAGCTGTAACAACATGGAATTAAAAGATATTGTTGTTGTTCTATAAAGACCTTTTAAGATCAGATATCTTGATGAATGGAGGATATTCAGTACTCACAGTTCTTCTGGATCTTGGCTCTGATCGTCTCATCATCTCTGATCCTGTAGGGATGAACACAATCCAACAGTTATGGATCCAGTTTAAAATAAGTGTTTGTTCTTTGAGTCAGCTTCAGAGTCCTGACTGATCTCATGCTTTACATCCCATCATATCTTCTCTGCAAACACTACGACTGACTGCCACAGCTCTCAGCTGCATTACAGGAAGTAACAGTCATTAGTCAAGGAGCTAAAAACATCCCATCAAAAACAGACTACCTTTTCCACTCTTCTGTCAAATCCCATATGTCTGGTGGAAAGTTGATTACTTACTAAATGTGGCTTTGCATTTCCAGCTGGCCTTCTATAGTTGATGGAAGAATGAAAGAGCCTGCAGTCAGTGGGTAACATCACTGATCTGTTGTGATTCCCCAGTGAGAGAAACACCTCCCTGTGTTTCATACAATACTGCTGAACCAGCAGAGACCCCTTACTGACCTGAGGGTCTCCAGTCTGCAGTCTGGACTCTCCAGAAGATCTCTCAGCAGCTTCACATCTGAATCCTGCAGAGCGTTGCCTCTCAGGTCCAGATCTCTCAGATGGATGTTGGACTTCAGAGCTGAGGCCAGAGCAGAACAGCTGATCTCTGACAAACTGCAGCTCCTCAGTCTGAATAAAGAAAACATGATGAGGATAAACATCAGTTTATAATTCAATCAGATTTTACTCAACATTTAAATGAATCTGAACAGAAACATCTGTCTACTTCAGAAAGTGAACTTTATCATGTAAAACTAAAATGACTTCAGATGACCTTTATTCAGACGTTATCGTTTACTAAATATTAAATACATAGATTTACTTTTTACAACTAACATCTATTACAGTTCCTTTAAGAAACAGTCAACATGTATGTCTGCAGTTCTTACTTCTTACTCTTCAAAATGAAACATGAATATAAGGACATTTACTACTTTATGGATGCAAGTTATTAATGAATATAAATGAGGTTAAATGACAAAGTGAACATGTGAGATCTCCAGCAGTAACAGAGAGTCAGTGAACTGACCTGAGAGTCTCCAGTCTGCAGTCTGGACTCTCCAGAAGATCTCTCAGTAGCTCCACTCCTGAATCCTGCAGAGCGTTGTTGTGACTCAGGTCCAGATCTCTCAGATGGATGTTGGACTTCAGAGCTGAGATCAGAGCAGAACAGCTGATCTTTGACAACCTGCAGCCCCTCAGTCTGAATAAAGAAAACATGATGTAAGTTTAGAAAACAATGTTCCTGTTTGAAATAACTCCAGGTTTAATAATCTGTTCAGAGTGAAACAGGGTTTTAATGTCAGAGATGATGCAGAAACAATCCACTGATAATCTGGAACTTTAACTTTGATCAGATGTTGAACAACTCCTTCATCTCCCTCACAGATCATCAGTACTGACAGCATCTCCACTGACTCATGGAGCACAGAGTGAGTCTGTGGAAGCTCAAACACTCTCCCTCACACATTCACCTTCTCTTTGTTACTCTGATCAATATTCAGTCATTAGCAAAAACGGAACAAATAAAAATAACATTATATTTGTTCAAATTCAGAAAATCATAAACACAAACAGATCAATATGAACTGCAGTCAGTGAACTGACCTGAGAGCCTCCAGTCTGCAGTTTGGACTCTTTAGTCCAGAAATCAGCCGCTTCACATCTGAATCCAGCAGAGTGTTGTTACTCAGGTCCAGATCTCTCAGATGAGAGGGGTCAGACTTCAGAGCTGAGGCCACGACTTCACATTGAGCCTCTGAGAGTAAACAGTGATTAAGTCTATAATAAAACATATATTACAACATGTGTTTAAAAAGAGGAAACATTATATTAACATCAAGCATTTGATGAAAAAAGATTTGACATGTTCTGATAGACATTTGCTGTTAGTCCATTTAATATAATATATAATAATTAGGGCTGTCAAGTTAACGCGTTAATAACGCGTTAACGCAAAAAAAAATTAACGCCACTAATTATTTTAACGCGATTAACGCATGTGTATTTTTTGTCCTCGGCCGCCGTAGTTTCAGAGCGCATCGAGTTTAAAATACCATCGACAAGCTGATGCTGACAGCCCCGCTCCTGCCGCCCGTTTGTGGCAGACTACACTTCCACGCTCACTGGCAGGCCCGGACTGGCCATCGGGAGGACCGGGAGGGAGTGTGTATGTGTGTGGCGCGACTCGTGCGAGCGAGGCACACCTTACGTGTTGTTGTTGTTAGCATCTGGTGCTAGCTAGCTGCGCTAACGGATATAAGGAGCTGTTTCAATGACATTTCGCCGACAACTGCGCCGAGCACTTGACTTTATGCAGGTAGCCAGACAGTGGGACATTGTACGAAAAGTCAGCACACTCAGCACGGATAGTGCGCGCAACATGATTGCAGCATCCAGGCAGCTCCCGTTGGAGCATATGCCTTGCCACACACACACACACACACACACACACACACACACACACACACACACACACACACACACACACACACACACACACACCACACACACACACACACACACACACACACACACACACACACACACACACACACACACACACACACACACACACACACACACACACACACACACAGTATTGTATGAGAGAGGTTCCAGGTTGAATTGAGGCGAATATTTGTAATGTTCAGGTTGTTGTGTTTAATATTCATGAGAATATTTGTCATTGTTCAAATGATAATAAACAAACATATAAAGCATATTTGTCCACTCATATGTTGATAAGAGTATTAAAAACTTGAAAGATATCCCTCTAAGGTACATTTAGAACAGATAAAAAATGTGCGATTAATTTGCGATTAATCGCGATTAACTATTTTAATCGACTGACAGCCCTAATAATAATATATGATAATAGAGTGTAATGAGTTGTCAGTGTGATCTGATCACATGTCTGTGCTCCTGCTGTCACTGACTGTTACCATAGAAACAGAAATTAAATGAATCACTTGACAATATTAGAGATGAACATATTTAAATGTTAGTTAATATGTGGATGTGAATGATGGATGAAGGATGCTTTGGCTTCTCTGAGCAGCTGAACATTTATTGCGCACACAATTAACAAACCAATAAAGTTTCAATATGTTCAACTTGATAGCATCAGATGTTCCCAGTATATCAGCATTGAGACATAACTCTGTTATTGGTGGGAAATGATATAGATCTGATTTTAAACTCTAACACATTGTGATCACAACGTGTTTAATGATAAAGAAACTACTAGAAATTAATCATTAAAAAAAGGGTTGTTGCTTCACTTAAGGTTTGGAGGGAAGTCTGTCGTAATCAAAAACGATATGAAGATGGAATCTTCTTGAAAGAGGAACTGATCAAGACTTCCCTCCTCACAAACTGAACAAAGACCACCACATGTTGAAACTATGGGCTTCTAAGGGCTTGAGGACATTTGGACAAATGTTCGGTGATAAAGACGTGAAGTCCTTTGAACAGCTTTCGTTACAATATGATTTACTCAAATACCATTTATTCAGATTCTTCCAAGTGAGGAGTTATCTTTCCGGCATTTAAAAAGAGATCTTTTCAAGACATCAAGCCATTAATAAAATACATGCTTACAGTTTATGACCCTGGAGTGGAAACAACATTTCTAACTCAGATGGTTCAAATATTACATTAAGAAATCAAGATGAACACAGTATTATTAATGTAACAAAGAAATGGGGAAATGAATGATCCTGCAATATGCCAGTAGCAGATTGGGAACAAATGTGCAGAAACATTCAGAACACAACCAACTCAAACTACTGGAAAGAAAACACATGAAGCTTTTAACTCCATCCTTTAAGACACCCCAGATTCAAAGTGAACACAAACAAACCCTCACTTCAAAATGCTGGAGAGAATGTGCTGAGCAGAAACCAGACACATATATTCTGGGCCTGTGATGTGTTGGGAGACTTCTGGGAAACAGTTTGAAGAGAAATGTCCAATATCTTGTTCTCTCAACAAAAACCCATTGTCCCTATCACTGGGGAAACACCAGAGGAGATACAGAAAGATTCCTATCTATTTCTGGTCATTAGAAAAGCCATCATCAAACTAATGACAAGGAATTGTCTAAAAGATAATAACTTAGTGAACTCACAATGGAATAACTTAGTAAATGAAATCTATGTAACGGAGAAAACAACTAGATTAGAAACCAAATGCATATCTTTGAGGAAAGGTGGGAGGAATGGGTCAGTATAGAACAATACAGTGAATATAATTAATGTGTACCTGAGTATTCATAATGTATTCATAATGTATCCATTCTTTCATTTGTAATATTATTAATACTATTATCTTATTATGTCTTCTCTGATTTCTCATCTGTTATGTAGTTCATCTTGTACTTAGATGTGTTTATTTGGTTATGTATGCTTTGTGAATATTTTCTTAAAAAGCAAAGAAAAAAGCAAAGAAAGTAATAATAACATGTTTCTGTGATAACTGTAAGTCCTGCTGTGTGGTGTGATCACATGCTGAGAAACCTCTAGAGTCCTTCATGTGTTTGACATGTCGCCTCCATCACTCAATATGAAGAGAGGAACGCTTCAGTTTAACTATTATTATAAATAAATAGAAGAACAGTGTTGGTTTATTTTCTCAGTATTTAAACAGCAGAAATGTTAAAGTGTTTATTTGAATAATTAAACTCCTGATCCACATTAGTTTATAAAGTTAATCACATCTGGACTTACTTGAACTTCCTGCAGTTCCTCACAGCTGGAAGCAGTCTCAGTCGTCCCTCCGGTGATGTGTTGTACTGATCCAGGTCCAACTCATCCAGAACCTCCTCTGACATCTGCAGCATGTAGGCCAGAGCAGAGCAGTGGATCACAGAGAGTTTCTTCTCTGATCTGTTCCCTGACTTCAGGAACTCTGTGATCTCCTGATGTACTGAGTGGTCCTTCATCTCTGTCAGACAGTGGAAGATGTTGATCATCCTGTCAGGAGAGGATCCACTTCTCATCTCCTTCAGGTTGCTGATGGCTCTCTGGATGGTTTCTGGTCTGTTGTCTGTGCGACCCAGCAGGCCTCCTAACAGTCTCTGGTTGGACTCCAGAGAGAGACCGTGGAGAAAGCGGACCAACAGGTCCAGGTGGCCATTTTCACTTTGGAGGGATTTCTCCATGGCTCCCTTTAGGAAGTCATCCAGGGATGGGTAATCCTGATCACTGCTGTTGCTATAGTCTCCCTGCAGGAAGTCCTTCAGGGACAGGTCATCATCATCACTGCTATCATTGTCTTCGTCCCAGTATCCCAGCAGGAAGTCCTTCACTACCTTTGTGTCTCTGTTGGTGTAACAGTGCAACATGTAGACTGCAGCCAGAAACTCCTGAATGCTCAGATGAACAAAGCAGTAGACTGTTTTCTCAAAGATCACTCTCTCTCTTTTGAAGATCTGTGTACAAACTCCTGAGTGCACCAAGGCCTCGGTGACGTCGAGACCACAGCGCTGCAGGTCTTCTTGGTAGAACATGATGTCTCCTTTCTCCAGATGTTCAAACGCCAGCCTCCCCAGCTTCAGAAGAACCTCCCTGTCAGCCTCCGTCAGCTGCTGTGGACTCATCACATTTCCTCATTAAAATGTCTAAAAACTAATACACCTATGTTATTCATGTTTTGTTGAGTTGTGTACATACATTATCTCAAATGGTTCAGAGAGATGTGTAATTTTAATCAAGGTAACAGTACGTTCATCACGGTCTCTTGTAATGGAGGCGTATCCACTTAACCATGAGAAGATGAATACTACAACTCCCATGATGCCACGCTGTTTCACCACCACACCACACTAGTTTTTACTATGGTTTTAGAATATTACAGGTTGTGTGTTTAATGTCGTAATGATGCGCTGCCATGGAGCCTTAATAGAGAATGCTATGAGATGGAGCTTTAGAGTTATCAGTCTATCACTGGGTCTGAGCTCAGGTGGAGTCTTTACCTTCCAGTGACACACGATAACTCCAGACTACGTTTCCACCTTGGTCCTTGACCTTCAAAACCACTCTCTCTGTGCTCGTCGTCAGGGAAACTTGAAATGTCGGAGGGTAATTTGGTCCAAACCTGGATTCAAATATTTTACTCTGAAAACCAGAAGCAGAAGTTAAATGTTTATCTGTTTCTTTCCTGATTGTGAATCCACATAAAATGTGTGTTAATGATCATTGTGTTTCATCAGAGGAGTATCAGTGACTCACCTCAGGCTGAATGAAGAAGCCCTCAGGTTCACAGTGCACACTGTAACCTTTAAACAGTTCCAGCTCACACTCGGAGGAGTTTGTGATGTGCACAGCACAGCTGTGTTTTTCAGCAACCTTCAGTAACAGGACATTTTGATCAATTTAAAACAACATATGTTGAGAGACCTGCTCTACAGAGAGATAAGAATTACAATCAATTAAGAATAACATTATGAGGACATATGTGAGATTAATGATAGTGTACAGTATAGGTAGTAGGGCTGTCCCGAATACAATTTTTCGCGCTCCGGATATTCGGTAGTAATCAGCAGCGAATATTCGGATATCCGGCGCGAGGGGGGGGGTGGGCAGTAATCAGCAGCGAATAATCAGATATGTGTGAAGCGAAGTGAAGCGTGACGTTCGCGTTCGTGACGCTGTGAGTGAAAGATTGAGAGATTGAGTGATGAGATTGTATATATTTCCGCATTTTAACAGTGCAATTAAAAAGTATAAATATAGTATAAGAATGTGGTAATTTGCCTTTATTGATAGCATACATTAAAAAAAAAAAAAAACGAATATCCGAATAATGAAATTGAAAACCGCATAGTAGGCCAACGACCGAATATTCAGATATTCGGGTACAGCCCTAATAGTTAGGTGTTAATCTTTTTCAACAGCTTAAACATTGCAAAGTTCAAATATGGGAGAGTTAGATATTTGAACTAACGTTATTTGTCATTCTAGTCGGACCCATTAGAGCGTAAAAACTGTAACTATAACTATCTGAAATAAATATGTGTACCATTAACTGTATTGCATTGTCTTCTTATGCGCAATTTCTTCATATTGTCTTTGTCTTTTTCGTCCTGCATTTATTGTGCCCCTCTCAGAAAATAACTGGCCCCTACCTGGCCCCCCCAGTCAAATTGGTCTAGAACCGCCACTGAGGACAAGTCAGCCAGAAGGTTTATTACCTGGGCTATACCAATCCCCCCACCTATCTCTGTAACCCCCCTTTTGTATTCTCTCAAATCCTTATCACCTTAGCGTTGTCCTCTCTTTACTTTTATTTGATTAGTTCTTAGTATTAAAGATTTGACTTTTTTTTGGTAACTAGTACTACTGATGTGCCGAGTCACGGTTGAGAAACTGCTTGATCTTGGACGTGCTCTGATGGAAGAAGTATCAGTCCAGACATCTGGGACCCCGTTTGGAGTCCTCCAGCTTCCTCCTCCAGGTCCACCTCTGCACCGCTGTGTTCCTCCTTTATCACGCACAGCAGCCACCGCTCATCGGTTCACTAAGGTCGCATTCACACGTATAGTCCGCAGTGGTGGGAAGTAGTGGAGTACAAATACTTCGTTACTGTACTTAAGTACATTGTTTCTGGTATCAGTACTTTACTCCACTACTTATTTTTCTGACGACTTTTTACTTTTACTTCTTACATTTTTAACACAAACACCTGTACTTTCTACTTCTTACATTTTGAACCCAAATACGTGTACTTTCTACTTCTTACATGTTGAACCCAAATACCTGTACTTTCTACTTCTTACATGTTGAACCCAAATACCTGTACTTTCTACTTCGTACATGTTGAACACAAATACCTGTACTTTCTACTTCTTACATGTTGAACCCAAATACCTGTACTTTCTACTTCTTACATGTTGAACACAAATACCTGTACTTTCTACTTCTTACATTTTCCAAACAGGCTGGTTACTTTAGATTTTAATCTGTGCATGGTGGCGTGATCTTTTTGATATTTTTAAACACAAGTATCTGTACTTCTACTTGAGTAAAGGATGCGTTTACTTTTGCCATCTCTCTTTTGTGCGCACCAGACGACAGTTTGTTACATTGTTTAATTTTTCAGAAGGTTTGGTTTGCGTTCACACGGCAAAACTCAAACGGACTATGAACTTTAAACACAAGTCATGTGCACGGAAATGCTGTTCAACAATTGGTCAGACATTAAGGCGGTAAACACGCAAATCCTGGCAATTTCTACCGTAGCCTCCGCCATGGAGCATCGGCAGGTTATTTTCTCGCTGCTGTTAATCTGGAGAGCACATCAACAGACTCTAGTGGACGGCAGATATGATTATATAATCAGATGTGCGTTAAAAAACATAATAACGATGACCCTCGGTTGGATAGGAGTAGACACGCGTTGAGTCTCGCTCTCAAACATTTTCATATTTTGACTTTCTCGAAAACCCATAACTCTGTGTAGTGACCACGAGATCCATTTGTTTTTTGTCCTTTGTTTGTGATTCACTCGTGGGGCTGACCGAGGAATAGACGCTTGTAGTTTGAGAGAAAAAAAACTACAAAAAAAAGCTAGCAATGAGCTTAGCATGGCGTCTCTTGGAAGATCTCCGTAAAGCCCTGTCCTCCGATTTCAGGACAACCATATCGGCTCTCGACGCAAAGCTAGACCGGATTCAAGTTACAGTGTTGGACAATTACTTCGCTCGAACCCAACGCCAATATACAGGATGAACGATTGTTAGCCCTGGAAACTAGTTGCGTTACGCTAACAGAGAGCAATGCTGAACTGCTAGCCAAAGTCACCGACCTCGAGTCCCGCAGCCGCCGCAACAATATTAGAATTGTCGGCCTGTCCACTGAGGGGTCTCGTCCCTCTACTTTTTTCCCGGAGATGCTGGCGGAGGTCCTCGGCGTGGGCGTCCTGGATTCGCCACCGCAGTGTTATAGGGCCCATCGTTCACTCATCATCCGCCTCCACCGGTACCAACAGAAGGAGATGATCATCCGCGAAGCCCGGGCCAAAAGAGGCAGGCTACAATACCGAGGTACTCCTATTGCCATCTACGAGGATTACGCACCGGAGGTGATGGAACAGCGTTACAAATACCGGGAGGTTATGTCGGAGCTCTATTACCTGGGGCTCAGGCCAGCTCTGTTGTTTCCCGCAAGGCTTTCCATCATAACGAAGGAGGGTGGTAGGAAGAGATTCTCCTCTGTTGCCAAGGCTAAAGCCTACATAGCATCCATTCGTCATGACGACAACTAACACTGACACAGTTACCAGCCACTCTGATCATCCGTTTGCCTGGTTGGTCGGCCAGTAAGAGATCAATATTATTTTCTTATTAATCTCCTTTCATAATCACACTTTGACAATGCCTGTGGGTAACATCCCGCTTCCAAACACTGTATCGACATTGAACTGCTCATAATTGCACTCTTAATTGTTTACATGTTATGGTCCCCCATCAACGCCTCCACTCGGAGCATAAAAAACTCTTGCTAAAGTACGACGGGACCCAGGCACTTTGACTGTTTTGTGAGCTGCCTAAATTGACTATCTGTTGGTTTGTTTATGTGGCCTGAGATCTGTGTCCTCCTGTGCCTTACAGTTTTCTGCTATGTTCCCACATGCAGGTTGTTTACTTACCTATTATTGTTATTTGAAAAAGGTGGGTTGGGTACTTTAGTTCTGATTGTTTACAATGTGTTTTGTTTCACTTGTATATTCTTCCAAATTATAATGGGCTTCCTACTGTTAATGTAGGGAATGAGACCCGGAAGATGTAAATAAATACTGCACACATGCTGAAACTATTGTTCAGCATGATAATAATCACAATGCAAAGAAGACCAACATTGAGAAACTTCAGATGGTTCAACAGGAAGAGGGGAAGGCAGAGGAAGAGGTGAAAACAGAGGGAGGGGG